TCCTTCAAGAGTTTATGGAGTTAGATGTTGCCTATTCCGGACTGTTATATGCACTGGTTTGGTTGCTGGCATAGGGAGAGGTTATGAAGTTATGTGCAGAGGTGGTAATAGGAACAGAAAAAAATCCATGATTCAGGTTCACAGGACAACACAAAAATCCACAGATTTGCATATGAAAATGTACATATGTTCTAACATCTGTCTCTGTGTGTCTTTAAAGGAAGCTGTTTCCTAAAGAGACCCCCCTATTTGTATACAGGAAATATGGACATAGAACAGGGGGGAGGAGCACAAAAAGAAAAAGAAACTTCGAGCAGAAAGATCCAAACAGGAAGCTGCAGCAGATGTGGGCAAAATGCCAGCTATGCAGGTAAATCAGATGCAACTGAGCTCATCAGGGCTCCAGTGACTTTATTTTAGCAAGTGCTCACGAACAGCAGGGTGGTGTGCCAAATAGCCATCCAAATATGGGATTTCAAATGAAAGATCTGCAGCTCCAGTCCTAATAGGCTGCCCTCTAACATCATGTCTAAAATGTGCAATGCTGTTGTAGACTAATACCTAACTGTAGATTTGGAAACTTCTGCCTCTGTTTTGACTAATCACAGTTTAATACATTTCCTTAACGCTGGCTAAAGTGAAACATGGTTTATTGAAACAAATCACAGTGAACCATTGCCTTATTGCAAATAAACCATTGTTAAGATTAACCACAGGTTGCCAGGTTCAGACAACACAACAAGCAGCAGTTAATCTAAACCGGAAATGAAAACTTCCAAACTCCTCCTCATGACTGCACGGAAGAGGAGGACAACACTCAAGTCTGTGTTGAGAGGAGGGAAGTTAGGCTTGCTTCCAACGCGATAAACCAAAACTCACTGTAAATGATATCCAAACACAGTCAGTGAAGCAGACTGTGTTTTCTCTTCAACTATGAAGGCTCAAACCTTATTATTTTTTAAAGCTCCTCTCATTCCCCTCATAAAAACAAAGATGACATTCACTGTACTGTTCCAGGTTACCCTCAACCAGAAATTTTATTTATTTAGAATTTTTGTATGCCATCCCATCGCATAGCCTCAGGACAGCTTACATAAAATAAACAAACACAATACAAATAATACAAATAAAATCCAGATTCACCCTGGCTGCAAATTAAAACCTATAGATGATATTAAAAGTTATTAAAATATTGTTTAAATAAAAAGGTCTTAGCCTGGCACCAAAAAACAAATAACGACAGCACCAGGCGGACCTCTCTGTGGAGTGCATTCCATAGGCGGGGCGCCACCACAGAGAAAGCCCTCCTCCGGGTACTTAGCCTCCTAATGTCTTTCACGGAGGGTTCCCAGAGGAGGGCCTCTCCCGCTGATCTCAGGGGGCGGGCGGGCAAATATGGAAGAAGGCGTTCCTTTAGGTATCCAGGTCCCAAGCCGTTATAACACTAAGACAAATTGTTTATTTCCAGAGAGGAATGATGCAGTGCATGGTGACCCACTGCTAACATCACTTTGGGTCACACTAATGGGAAGGGGAAAGAGGTTGCCTAGCAGTGCAGATTTCATAGGCAATCATGTTATCAGAACAATTTCAATACATAAACATTCTGAAGAAACCAGTTAGCTTCTGACATGCCCTAAATGTCTCCAGAGTCTAACAGGTGCAATCAAGCTGCATAGCCATGTTTTAAAAATTAGGATTTTAGAAGAATCTGAAATATGAAGGCAGGATACATGAGATCTTGCACAGAAAGACTGTGCAAGATTTGTTTCACAATTCTTTGCCTGCCTTTCAATTTTCTAACCAATTTTAAAAACACTTTCTCTCCCTGCCCCCCCCCCCCCCACTTCTTTCACTCTCTTCCTCCCAGTGCCTTCACTCTTTGCATCCACTGCCCATTCCTGTAGCTTTTCTTTGTTCACACTCTGGTTTTTAAATTGTTTCCATAGTAGCATAGTGCTTCAGTGTTCCCAAAGGAAAAAATCCCCAGAGCATTAGAATTCCTGAACCATTGCTATAAAGAAAGCACCATTTTAAAGAAGGAAACGTTTAAGCTATCACAACTGGTGATTCCCAAATACAAAAAAGGAAGTAACCATCTTCTCTGCAGATTCCAAGAGAAGCACTATGGTAGCACATAAAATATAAATAGGAAATTCTTGTTTTCTCTTTGCTGCATAGGTGTTTATTCCAGAAACAAAAAAGTATGTCTTGATTGTGCACATTTACCCCCTGCTATTCTGTCTGTTTAAAGAATCCATGAATTCGCTACCTACTCTCAAAGCATGCAAACCAGAAGTAAGAAAGTGCTTCTCCCCTATTTTACAGCCAAAGAAGTGCATCAAAAAGACCAGGTATAAACACTACAAAGGTGATTCACACTGTAATAACTTCTATCCTTTAGATTTATAATCACAGTTGCTAAAACAAAGACTGCAATCTCTAGTCCACCTATTATTAATTTACATTCTACAACCAAATTAGTCCAACAGGACTGTTTAGGTGAAGAAAAACTGCATACTAAGTCAGACTGCTAAGTAGTGCCTTTAACTGCTGCAAAAAAGGCTCTCCTATAAAAGGTAAAGATACTGAGGTGTTCAGTAAACCGAAAACAAATGCTTTTGCTGAATAAGATGCAGTCTAAGATCCACAGATGCTACAGATAACCACCAAAGTAGCTATCCACTGATTAGGCACTTTATAGTGATAATCACATATGTTTCTCAAATTCCCAGAGGTACCCACAGGTCCAAAAAGATTGGCGAGGCCAGGTATGAAGTTTTAACCCTGCTATTGCCTCTGGATCAAAATACTGGAGGAGGGATGGGGTTCTGTGTTTGATTAGCAGTAGCTTTCCTAGTTTAGTATTAGAGGAGTATTGTTACCATCCCACAAGCAAATGAAGCTCCTTTCCATTTCAGGGGCATGGAGTTTCTGTGGCTGAAAAAGGTGGCATTTCCTTTCATATTGAGGATGGAGATTCTGTGAGCCAAGAGTCATAGCTACAGCAGCAGACACTGTATGAAAACTAGAGATGCAGTAGGGTCAGAGCAGACAAAATTGCATTTTTGAAACAAGTTAAGAGAGGTACCTCAGGCCTACTGGGCTCCAATCTATTCCACAGATGGGCATATCCCTATCTCACATCATTAGGTGGTTCCTCCCCACCACCCATGTCAAAATGTTCTGTGATTTTCCAGCTTTAACACTGATTTGCCTTATTCTAAAAGGTAAGGGCTTAAGCTAAAATATGCTGTCTTAAGCTAATTTTTTTTTCTTCCCTACACACCAGATATCAGCCCCTTGAAAATGTCTCTGAAATTAAATTCAGCCTTCAGGCTGAGATTCAACTGCTCTGGGCTAAGGATTTTGTGGCTGGGGATATCCAGCCCTAGCCAGCTACCAGTACCATTCTGGAACAGAGCCATTGGTTGGCAGAATACACATGCTTACTGTTGGACTTACTTTTTTTTTTTAAAGACTTGGGGCACACCCTTGATTTAGTTGTTTGCTAAGGGCTGCAGAGTTTTTTAAAGTTTGCAGAACTACAGAAGCTGATCTAACAATTTGTTGTTGTTCACTACTTCCATGCCACTTCTCTTTTTGCACAGCACTTCTCTTTTTGCTCCAGTGTTGCCACCTTCCTCTTCCTATGACAGGGCCAGCCCTGGCACCTGCCACCACATAAACCTGCTTGCACCTTGCATTTAAGATTAAGGGCCTTACTCCAGAGAGCATTTTCAGTTAAGTACCCAGATGACTGAACCCACTTCCATGAGGTGACCAACTTTATCTTTCCTTAAAAGCCTCTTGATTACGTTTCTTCTTTAATCTATGATGCATTTCTAACTCTCACCTGTTAAGTCTCAGCAATTCTACATTTAGCTTTCTATTAGCAACTTTTAAAATTAATTACCATAGTGTAGATTTTATTAGACCAAAGGAAGATGTAAAAATGCTCCAATAGTTTTCACTTTTTAACCAATCTGCCTCTCCAGGTAGTGGATTTCCAAATTCCTCATTAAGTGCATCAGCATTTTCTAATCCAGTACCCTCAAGATGTGTTGGGCTAAAACCCCCATAATCCCCAGCCAGCTAGCTGGGGGATCATGGGAATTGCAGCCTAACACTGCTGGAAAAAGCCAAGTAGGGGAAAACTAGCATGTCTGAAAACAAGGACTACAGTAAGCACAGAACCCCAAGTTTGTCCATCCCAGTTCCTGTGAACTGGCACGACTCAGTGGGGCTTTAACTACGGGGGTCGAATCCACCCTAAAAAAGACCCCCCCCCGTCTCTGCAGCCACCACACAGTGAATAACATCTGTCTGTCCCACGTTACACGGAGGAAGTATGTGCCAGAAGGGCCAAACCAAACGACGTCTCTTAATCATTCGGACTTGAACAGCAAACCTTGTCTAAAAATAAAATAAATGCACTTGGGGAGGCCGCTGGAATTGCTGTGAATGAGAGACGGGCTTTAGCTCAGGAAATGCAACGGAATTTTCCCCTAAGGAAAGGAGAGATGCGCACGCAGGACCTCAGGGCAGAACGAACGCCGGACTCACCCCCCTCCCCAACCAGGTGCTTGGGGTCCCAAATTCTACGCCTCCCTCCCCCCACGCCCATAACCCGTTTCTTGCTTCCCATAGGGTGCCCACCCTGGAAGCAGCCAGCAGCGCCCTGCCAGCATTGCTGCGTCGCAGCAGCAGCAGGCGCTTCTCCTTCTCCTCTTCCTCCCACCCTACGGCCATGCTGCTCATTGTCTCTGCAGCAGCGCTTGGCACTTTCCTTTTGTCATCCTCTGGAGTGGGTCTGGGGGGTGACGGCTGCTGGCCCTTCCCTGGCCAGAAGCAAATTGGGAGCATGGCCAAGCGGCCGGCAAGCGCAGCAGTGGCGGCAGCATCGCCTCCTCGCCTTCGCTCCCCTTTCCCTTCCCCTTCCCCTTCCCCTTCCCCTTCCCCGCCGCCTCCGCCTCGCCCCACCGGGAATGTGCACTTACTCCTTCACTCCCTCCCCAGCTCACTGCGCGGCGTCTCTGTCCGGGGCTCCTCTTTCCTCTCAGCTTTGAGCTTTGGCCGTTGAAAGCAGGAAGGAAGTTGGTAAAAAAATAATTATTAAAAAAAAAAGGAAGACATCCGACTTGAAGAGGAAGGCTTCTCAGGCTGAGGTGTTGCTGCTTTTCTTGTCGTGCACGCGTTCTCTGGAACTCTCTCTTGGGGTACAGAAGGAGAAAAAAAGCATCCTTGCCCGCAGATGCGAAAGATGCGTGAATTCTTTGTTTATGGACATCAGTGATTTATGCATTATTTTCCCCTCCCCCGCTTATAATGCCTTGTGCCGAACTGCAGGTCTTATTTTCTCAATAAACATTCCTATCTGTATGAATGTTACAGTGATAGGCTTTTTAACTGATATTGTTGGCTCAGATGCTACTGAGTTCAGCAGAATGCTGCTGAGGTATGCGATTTCTACAGAGAGGATAAGCAAACTACAGATTCTTCCTTTTCCACTTTCTCGCTGAAAAGATGTGTAAAGATTTAATTTTGTACAGATTGTCTAAATTCCTGCCTTACCTACCATAACATCCCTAAATGAGGGGAAAAATAAGATAAAAAAATTCTTTCCACTCTAAAAAGTTCATTTGCAAATTCTAAACTATTTTACTTCTGCATATTCTGCATTCATCAGAGACTTTTGTCTTCTACTTGCTGCACAGAAGTACTGACAATGCAAATATAGTGTTTCTTTCATTATGAAGCAAGGTTGACTTTGACATCACAGAAAATGAGGAACATAATTACTGGAAGGGACCCAGAAGTTGAGCACTTTAAGTGCTAGTCATTTCTCTGAGGGAGGGAGAGAGATACATGCTTAACACTCCCAGTGGGACTTGATTGTAATCCTGTTTTAAAATGCAGCACAATCTGCTGCCTAGGGAGATGATAGACCCTCCTTCAGTGAACAAGACTCCAGCAGCTGTGAGGTTTACTACATGGCCTGATCCTATGCATGCTGACTCACAAGTAAATCCCATTAACTTCATGGGGTTTCACTTGAATACACACCTGAAGGGATTATGGTGGAACAGCCACTTTGGCTAAGGAGAGCTTAATATTCTCCTTTTGCCTCAGCCACCACTATAGTGCTCATTTACCAGTCAAGAATGCTCTCTGAAGAAAGTGTTCTTCCAAGCTATTAACAGCTCCTTTAAGCAATCCAGTAGGGTAGCCTTTCCCAACCAAATTATTTCCAGATTTGTTAGAGTACCATAGTCAAGTAGCAGACTATAACACATATGGAGGGAAGGGTACCAGGCTGGGACATCTGAATGTAAGGGGGGAGAGCACTTCTTCCGTAACCCATCCCTTGCTTTAAACCTTATTTGCACTGTACCATAAGAACTGGTATCAGTAAAAGGTCAAAAATAACACAAAAACAGTTCCCTTCTTCATAAAATAGTGAAGTGGAGAAGGCGGTTGTCACTTACAGTTTTTAAGTAGGGCCAGCATCAAGGATAGGCATGGTTGGGTTCCTACCAAGGACCTGCAAGTGGGGTTGCTGAGCAAGCCCTCCTGGACTTGCACCTCTTCTTCACCATTGCAATCTGCTTGTTCATTCACCTCACACCAGTGATGCAAGGAGAAGGCATTGCAGGCACCTCTGCTTACTTCATGGGTGGACATCTTTTGGGGTTGTGCAGGCATTTAGAAATGTGAGGAACTTTCCTGAGCAGTGCAACAAAATGACTGCTGTGTGAGGTGTGCCAAAGGATAAGTAAGCTACCCAAAAAGTCTGAATACAAGGTGTGGTCTGAACCCCAACTCACTAAACACCTTCAAACCCACAGTTTTTCACACCAGCAGAAACCTATTTCACAGCAATCCCAACTGCTAATAAGAAATTTGTTATGGGGGGGAGGGGAAGAACACCTTAGCAGGTGCCAGAAAAGGGCACATTGGTGTCTACTGGAGCTTGCTGGCTGCTGGCCAAGCAAACAAGTGGTAGTAATTGTAAGAAAGAAGATGGGCAGCAAGAGAGGCAGGAAGGTAGTGAGTCTTGCCCAAGAACCATCAGAAACCTGGAAGTGCCTTTAAGGAGGGAGTACAGCACTTAAGAATGTTTAGATGTTGTGTCTGCATTGTCTTTCATATCAGCAGAAGAAAAAAATTAAACCCAAACCTTATATGCCCGTACACAGAGGTCAGGCTGAAGCATGCCACTTCCAACATTCTGCCATCTTTTATAATTCAGATATTGTCTTCCAATCAATCTATTCTAAATGGATGCAGTCTTTCAGAATCAGGTTTAAAAGACAATAGCTGCAGCCTCACAGACATCTTCCTGGAAACAGTCCCAATGAACTTAACAGGGCTTACTTCTCAGTTACCATGTATAGGACCCCACTAACAGTCATGCATAAGGGTCCAGTGCCCATGAAAATGAATTATATTCAAGAGAGGTGCTATTAATGAAAAATACATCCACCATTTCTTTGTGCTTACATAAGTAGTTGCACAGTTGTTGAGGGCTCCAGGTATTATCTCTAAGACTACAACATCAGATATTGCCACTTCCTACTGTTTAAAATATCACCAGGTGCTTCCAGATGAAGTTTTATGGTACCATTGCCTTGCATCATTCCAATAACTTTAGAGGAAGGATCCAAATCATAGAATAGTAGAGTTGGAAGGGGCCATGAAGGCCATAGGGTCCAACCCCCTGCTGTTCCAGGACTCCAATTTACACTATCCCATTCAGATGGCAGTTTAGTTTCTTTTTGAATGTCTCTGCTGTGGGAGAGTCCATCATCTCTCTAGACAGCTGTTACCATGTTACCATCTTCCACCCATAACAGTCTCACATTGTCCCACTGCTGCTTCTGTCTTTTTTTTAACATTGGAAATTCATTAAAGAAGAAAAGACACAATGCCTTCTGATTGTTAGCAGTAGGACTTGTCCATCCACATCCACAGTAATTTTTAATTTCATTTGTAAACAAATATTTAATTTGTGCTTTATTTCAAACCACTTGTTCTAATTTTTGCATACATACACAACTGGAGCTGCACAGTAAATACGTAGGTTTGTCTTGGTTTTTCAAGACCCAATCAATTTTCAAAGAAAGGAGTTTGTCAAAATGCTGCCTCTTCACCAACTGTAAAAGCAGTGCAGAAATCAGCCCTGTTAAGAGTAAGCCTCGTTGATCTCACATGACTTATTCTTGAGTTGATCTGTATAGACTTGTACTGTGTAGACCACAGGGAAAGCTGCAAATGCAAATCTCTTATCCATACTGTTCAAACCCAGTGCATTATAGTCTAAGTTTCTGCAAATATAGCGATAGGGAGAAGGCCTTTTTAAATACCCTGGCTGTTGGCAATGAACAGTAAATCCTGCTTAATTAGCCATTTAGTTATTATACAGTTTGAGCCATGTCCACCCACAGGTTGGTACAGAACTAGAACGGGCTTTAAAGCATGCATGACCAGCCTGTAAACCTGGTAGGAAGCTGATAGCCCATCAAGGATAGAACACAGGTGATTTAAGTATTCACACTTTATATGTGTGCTATCCAAGCAGCCACAGTTACAGTTACTGTTTAAAATGCACAGTACTCCTTGCTTTTTTAAAATTACAGCTCCAAAATATAGTGGCCATTAAATAGTCAAATGACAGGGGAGCAGAGAGTTTATTCCAAATAAGGGGAATAGCAACAAAGCATGCCAATAAACTCTTAAAGAAGAAGCAACAAAGCACAATGCTACAGTGCACTCATCCTGAACAGAATGCCTGCCTTCCCCACAGTGTGGCAGGTGGGAGGTATGTGATTATTTACTGGAGAGGGAATATGCTTGGGAGAGTGTGTGAAATGTTACGGTACAGCAAACCAGTATGAAGCAGTGAGCAATTTGTTTGATTTGGACCAAGCAGTTCTTATTCCAAATTCCCTCTCAGTCAGGAAGTATAATGGGTGACCTTTGGGTTAGTCATAGGAATATAGGAAGTTGTCCTATTCAAGAGCAATAATCCATCTACCTTGGTATTGTCTGCCCTACATAGTAGCTCTCCAACATTTTAGACTGGACTCTTTCTCTTTTCCCAACCCTAATCTTTGATGTTGCAGATCAAATCAGAGACTTTTTCCATACAAAGTGTTCTATCCCCTAAATTATAGCCTTTAGTCCTACTCCCCTTCTTTCACAGTGCAGAGTGATAGAATCATTTTGTCTCCATTGAAAATTGCATGTCCTATTCTATCTTGGGTTGGTGACAACCCAGGTTAACTAACAACATGCATATGTGATGGTCTGAACTTACTGGAAGAATGGTAGAGAAGCAAAATGTAACAAGAATTTGTTGCAATCTGTCTGGCAAAGGAGCATCTATGCATCATGGAGCACAAGGTATTATAGTATATGAATATTCTGATCTACCTTATATTATTATATCAATACCCATATAAAAGCTATATGAATCTCCTGATATATCCTCAGCTTGATTGTTGCCAGGGCCTGAAAAGTATGTTGCTGTCAGTGGACTTTTCACAGGTAGGGAGCTTGTCTTGTCTAGTGACTGTCTGCCACTCTTTCAATATTTAGAAAATGGAAGGTTTAAGGCCTGATTAATCTGCTTATAGGCCTGATTAATCTGCTTATAGGATGAATCTTGTCCCTAGCTTAAAGGTGAGAAAAACAAGACACATGGGCAGGTGTGGCTTGTTGCTGCTTGCTGACTGAACACTGAGTCAAAGGGATAAGGTAGCAAAACTTTAAAGAAAGGAAAGGTGTTGCTGTCACAGATATGGGAAGCCTGAGAGAGCCCTGGTTGCACAGCGATTCATTTATCATTTTTGCTCAAAAAGGGTTTGCCCAGTTAAAAAAAAAAAGTGGGTGGGGGGATACATTTGCACAACTTTGGGGATTTGAAGCCTCATGTGGGGCAATGTTTAGGAGTCTACTGCCAGAAGAGACTTCAAATGCATTTTCCCCTCCTTTGGTTTTCCTTGACAGCTGTCAGAAATGGAGCTGTCAAGAGCCACCAAAGCTGCAAGGGATCCTTTGCTGCAAAAAAATGGTATGAGGGGGTTTATACCACCACTATAGCAAGCACCTCATCTTCCCACATCCACATGTACACATTTTAGTTCCCATCATGGTGCACATTTTTCCCTTTGTTTTGAGCCTCTAGATGCACAGGAAAGTGCATATGAGTACATTTCCTCCTTTTTTTCCTAGAAAAGAAAGAGTTTTGACAGCTGTCGGAACTCTGAAATTCTGGGTTTATCCATCCTGGTGCTGACCCAAACAGGCTTCTCTTCCCCGGGTGGCCATATCATGTGCCCTCAGACCAACTTTTTGCAACATGGTTTCCTCTAGAAATAGTCTGCTTTTTAAATAAACTCCAAGGCCCATTTTATATGATTTGGCACAACCCAAATTGGGTTATGTCTCTGTACAATCTAGTTTACCCCCCATATACACACACTCACACACACACGCACAAAAGCAGACATGTAGATTAGCCCAGCCCTCCTGGATGATTTGTGTCCTGTATGTATGCATTAACCATGCAGCCACCCATGAGTTGGTGGGCAGCAAGCCATGGGTTCTGAAGCAGTTGAGAAGCCTTCCCCACCAGGCATGTCACTACATGCACACTGCAGAGGTAATTAAGCAAATCATGCAGTACCTGACCAGCACACGCAGGGCAGGTGATCATGTGAAAGTAGCCAGTAAGTGATCTAGTTCTCCCTGCACTTCCACAACATAGTACAGCTTCCCTCATCTTACGGCAATGTCCTAATACACCAGGCCTCCCAGTTCCTCTGCCAGCCACAGCTAACAACGTGAAACAGGACTAGGAAATGTGGTAGGCTATCATGTCAACTCAAAGTCTGATGGTTGTTCTCAGTGGCAGCTCATTCTACCCTAGTTGGTTCTCAGCTATATAGAAGGATAAGACTAATAAAGGGAGATTGTGATTAGAAGACAAATGTTGCTTCTAGAACAGCAGCTCTCAGCATTACCAATCAAATTATATTGGGCAGCTAATCCATCTTTCTCTCCTTAGTGGATTTTGTTATAAAACTGACAGAAGAAACAGTAGGAAAACACAGGACAATATGAAAAATGACATGGGCAAGACACTCACACTAAAATTCCATGTTCAGGGCAGGGTAATTACATAGTGAAAGGGCCAGGAAACAAAGGAGCACGTTGCACAAGAGGAACAAGTAGCATGTCAGAAAGAAAGATTCTTGAGAAGGAGGAAGCATCAGTGTGGCCAAGGCAGGTGGAGAGCTTGAGGTGAGCAGGAGTGCAGGGGAACTAGTTGCTGTTGCTGGCTGTGTATAGTTTCTCAAGCAACCTGAAGCCAACATGAATTGCTTGTAGTATCAGTCAATATGAATAATTTCATGAGGCTTATCTGCTGTTCCCAGAAGGCATGAGGGTAAGGAGATTACAGCACCAGTTGCATGTCGGCACACATATAAAAAAGGTGATTGGCAATAAGCTAGTCATTCCTTGATGAGGGCTGCCAGGATTTCTCCATGTGGACACGCACATGGTGGGCATGTCATAAGCAGAGCCAGCTGGAGCCAGGGGTCAGATTAGATGGCCCAGGAGGACCCTTCTGACTCACTCTGTTTCTATGTTTCTATGTTTCCTGGTCACATCCATGTGTTTCTAATACTGAAATGGGGCTGGTGACGAATAGTGTTGTAGTGGTAAAAATTGAACTGAGCAGGCACTCATCATGATCATCCCATAACCACATCTCCAAGGGGTGTTCAGACTTCAAGTAGCTCTGAAAAT